CCCCTCGCCCCCCCTCAAGACGAAGGGCCCCATCTCAGCTCGCAGGGAGGGGAGGAGGAAAGAGTTTGCTCTGGCTCCTGGGTCGCTCACTCTAGCCCTAAGGCCGGGAGCGCTGGTCTTCCCAGCTCCCGAGCCACCGCCATGTTTCCGCAACGCGGGCAACACCCTCGAGAGCGTCGCGGACCCGCCCGTCCGGATCTCGCACACGATGGCCTTCGAACTCAACAAAAAAGACGTACTGGAAGGGCTCCTCGAGGCTCGGCCGGCTGTTAATGCTCGTCAAGTTCAGACCGGCTGCGCGGAAGGCGGAGAGCACGTCAGCCAGAGCACCAGGGGCGGTGTGGGGAACCATGAAGGAGACCATGGACTTTGTCGTGCCAACATCGGACTGGCAAAGTTTGGGTGGTAAAGGTGTCTTGGACAACTCGACGTTTTCTTTCCGGATGACGAAAAATCGAGTTGTATTGTCAGAGCGGTCTTCGATGCTCGCAGCGAGGATATCAATGCCGTGGAGCTGGGCAGCGATCTCGCTGGAAATGGCGGCACTAGTGCCGGTCTCGTCTTCGGCAACGAGAGCTGCGGCGCGGCTGGTCGATGACACATCGATCGCTTCTATGCCCTTGAGGTACGTCTGAAGGAATGCTGAACACTGCCCCCATGCCTGGGGATGGGAATAGAGACGGCGGATGTGGGTGAGATCTGTCAGGGGCTTGGCACGGGGCTTGGGCGGGTGCGGCTCTGAAGCCGTGGGGGTGCATGCTCCGGAGCCGGGGGCAGACGCGCTGGACAATGCAGATACAGAAGTCGGAGCGACTGGTGTCGATTCAGGAGTTGCAGTCACGGGTTTAGAGGCACCTGCAGTATTGGCATTGGGTGGTAGGTGCCCTACGAGAAAGTGGTGGACGTCGAGGTAGTTCTCGCCGCAGACAGAAATGTCGGGAGAAAGTGCGTGTCGGTCAGCGAAGCAGTCAAGAGTGAAGACAACCGAGCCATTGGTCGAATTCTCAAAAGGTACAACGCCGTATGTGACATGCCCGGCTTGGACGGCGGTGAAGATATCTGCGTGTGTCAGGCGATGGCGGCTTGGTCTGGATATCAAGAAATGGCCTACCGGGGATGGTGACAAGTGGCTTCAATTCCCAGTCGCTCTCCGGAAACACCTGCAGGGACGCCTGTGATGATGATTTAGCACGGGATTTGGCAGCCGAGTGCTTCAGAGGCCAGGAGGACTGTGTCATATCGGTTTACCTGATGCGTGTACGAAGCCTGAGGGCCAAGAAACCCGACGAGTGGTTTGCCGGAAGCCTCATCTCGCGTTGGTTCCGACATATCGTCTGCAGGAAAGCCAGCGATAAGAGCGTCAGATCTCTCCGCCTGCCTTGAGATGAGGTCAATCCCAGGTCAGCCGAGGAACCGTTGAAGTGTGTCACAGACTGTAGAAGCAACGGGTCCGGGGGGGTGACGAGGCGTTGCGGTCAATCAGCTGTGGGACGGTGACGGGCGGGAGGCCACACAGCACGTGTACCACGCAATGATCGATACGAGAAATGAACAATGGCGTTTGTCCGACGAGATGAGGCTGATGATCAGTCGCAGCGTGATCATCGATGAGGGGTCGTAGTTATCGTAGTTGAGTTGGGCGAGGGTTTTCTTCTTCGGTTGAATTCCCCACGGCGGGCGGCATCGGACAAGTTGGAGCGCGCAGGGGGGCAGTCGCTGTACCACTGGTGGCAGTCACTGCTCCACTCTCGCCTTCCTGTTCGACGTCTTGTACCTGGCTTGCCTGGGCGGTGACAACCGGCCGGTTGTCAACCCACGAAATGAATTGATGGAAATGATTGGTGTTTTTGGCCGTCCACCGGGTGAATGGTCACTGGCGATGTGGCCCGTTGCTTGCTAGGTACCTACCTTAGGTACCTACCTGCCGCGACTTCTTCCCTGGATGGGATATTTAAGAACCTAAGGTGCCTAGGTAGGTAAGGTAGGCACCTAAGGTACCACCTACCCGATACTGTCCGTGTAACCTCTGACTTATCTCTGTGCGGCATCGTGCCGTCTTCCAACAACGGCCTCATTCGTGTAATTGATCATGATCGCCTCATGAGCAACATCCAGCTACTGCTTTCGGTCCATGGCCGCCTGCACCAGCTCTTTGCCCCCCTCGACCCAATCATCCCAACAGACGCTCAGCGTGGCCGTGTCCCTCCACAAGTCCTCCGGATCGCCGCCCGGCGGCAGCCCCCGACCGTTGCCAGTCTTGCCCCGCGCGACGCCGTTCTTGAAAAGCATGTGCCACCGCGTGATGCCCTCGTCCTTGAACCCCAGCCGGTGCGCCAGCTTGATGGAGCCCGCATTGCGCGCGTGCGCCCGCCACTGCACCCTCACAAGCCCGAGGCCGCCGTCCTCGGGCCTGTCGAGGGCGTACCGCACGAGCAGCCCGGCGGCGTTGGTCGCGACGTGCGTGCGCTGGTACGGCGGCAGGATGTACACCCAGCCAATCTCCGTCGTGAGCGTCGTCGTCGAGCTCCGGAAGTAGGACATCATGCCGGCGAGCTCGCCCTCGTCGTCCTCGGCCGACGCCGGCCGCGTCGTATCGATGACAGCATACGTGAAGAAGTCGGGGTTGGCATACGACGTCTTCTCGAGAAACTCCGTCTTGAACTCTTCGACGCTGTACCAGGGGCCCGACGGCGTGTACGTGAAGAGGACGGCGTCGCTGCCAGCGAGCGCATGGAAGCGTTCAGCGTGACGGTCCTTCTGCTGCCG